CGCGCGTCGTCAGTTACAGGAGGCCAATTATGGTTGTTTTCGGCCTGGCCGAAAGATCTGGATGTTCCCGCAACATCGAAGAGCTCGCGTTGCTTTTGCGGAGCAACAATTGCAGACGCCACGTGAGACCTGGGAGGTTACGATTTGGACAGACGAGAAAGTCTTCCAATCGTCAACTGACCGGCGTCTTCACGTGTGGCGGCCAGTGGGTGTCCGGCTTGATCCGAGATACGTCGTCCCTGCAGATCGCAGCGGGCGTATTTCGTGTGGATTGTGGGGTTGGACTAGCGGACAGACTCTGGGCGAATTAGTGGAGATATCTCCACACATGGATTCTGCAGAGTATATTCGCGTACTGGAGGAAGTTATGTTCAGTATCATCAGTTCGGGCGGTGTATCCGGCAGATGACATTCCCATAATTAGTCTTATTCAAGATAACTCCGCTGTCCATACTTCTCGTGAAACGTGAAATTGGTTTTCGAATCATCCGGACATCCAAGTGGAGCAATGGCCCGCTAAATCTCCCGACCTAAACATCATTGAGAATGTTTGGTAGACGCAATTGAGACGCTCTTATACGCGCTAGGCCAGCGCTGCCAGCGAGTGAGAGAGTCTTATGGGCGACTAGCGCTATACGCAAGTGAGACGCTCTTATACGCGCTAGGCCAGCGCTGCCAGCGAGTAAGAGGGTCTTATGGGCGACTAGCGCTATACGCAAGTGAGACGCTCTTATACGCGCTAGGCCAGCGCTGCCAGCGAGTAAGAGGGTCTTATGGGCGACTAGCGCTATACGCAAGTGAGACGCTCTTATACGCGCTAGGCCAGCGCTGCCAGCGAGTAAGAGGGTCTTATGGGCGACTAGCGCTATACGCAAGTGAGACGCTCTTATACGCGCTAGGCCAGCGCTGCCAGCGAGTAAGAGGGTCTTATGGGCGACTAGCGCTAGACGCAAATGAGACGCTCTTATACACAGTGCAGGCTATCTTTGGGACTCCACTAATTGCAAGTGAGAGGGACTTATGTGGACTCTGTTGAAATTGTCTGAGACACTCTTATACGGGACGCCTGGACTCTGGACAGACATGCCGTCCCGAGCGAAGGAAATAGGCTATCCTCTCCACGCGGCGGCCTGGCTTCCTTGCCACCAGTCGCCACTGCCGGTCGCCCTACTCACGCTTCCTACTAGCTCCACCCAAGAACGGCATTAACGTCCCGCAGTGTACATACAGGTATATTGTAATATATCAACCATGATAATGGGCTGCTGCTGTTGTTGCTGCTGTTGTTGCTGCAAATAACGATAATTGTTAGTAGTTTGTCACTGGAAATTAGCATAAATTATACTATGACGTATAGAGACTAACCTCAGACATTGGCGGTGCGTCATCACGTTCTCCTTTAAATTCTGAAAAAAAGAGGTAGCTAGTTTTTAGTATATATTGCAGCCATTTATGTCACAAAGAAATGTAATTTATGCAATAATTTTGCATTTCGCTCCTACTTCATTTTGTCAATTTGACATATTTTTTACAAGATCTGGGGTCGACAAGTGTTGCGTAACTTTGCCACTGGAAGTCGCAAAAGGCTGCAAATTGGTATACCGATTCTTGGGACGAAAAAAAGAGATACGTGTTTTGCATTTCTCTCCTACTTCATTGTTTCAATTTGACGAATTTTTTTGAAAATTTAGAATCGACAAGTGTTGCGTAACTTTGCCACCGGAAGTTGGAAAGGGCTGCAAATTGGTATACCGATTCTTGGACCGAAAAAAAGGGATACATGTTTTTACATTTCTCTCCTAGACCATTTTTTCAATTTGATGTATGTTTTTGAAAATTCAGAATCGACAAGTGTTGCGTAACTTTACCACCGGAAGTCGCAAAAGGCTGCAACTTGGTGGGGACATTCTAGGAACGAAAAAACGGGATACGTATTTTTGCATTTTTTCCCAGATCATTTTTTTGATTTCATGTATTTTTTGCAAAGTTTAGAGTCGATAAATGTTGCCACCGAAAGTCGCAAAGTGCTGCAACTTGGTGTGAACATTCTAGGGACGCAAAAGAAAGGATACGTATCTTTGCGTTTCTCTCGTAATCTATTTTCCTATTTTACGTATTTTTTACAGTCTCCAGAATCGATGAGTATTCTATAACTTTGGAATCAGCAATCGCAATGTCTTGGAAATCCGATATGGCTATTCACAGGACGAAAAAATAATACTTGTATGCTTAGTTATAGTAGTGCAATTCATTTTAAATGTAATGTGTCAGTCCCACCACCCATCCTCCCGACTCCCTCTCACTTTAATAATCTGTTTTCCTCAGGACTGCTATAAAATTGATTGCATGACGTTTTGGACACTGTGTACCGTCCGTTTTCGTCTGGCTGAATGCGTATCCCGAAACAATTGCCAATCGCGCGTTACACGTGTAGCTGCTGCGCCAGCCTAAGTCACGCCCATGCCCATATTGGGAGTTTGTCAACGAATCCTACGACGCTCGCTTGGGCTATGAAACAATTGCTAAGCGCGGAATTTGTGGGAAGCTATTGCAAAGCAGCGATCTTTGGCATCCGCGAGTGAATCCGCGGAAATCCTTCGTTCTGATTGGTCGCACTTAAATGCTTCTTATTTAAAAACTATCGCGAATTTTGGCAAACGGTTTGCGGGAGAGTACTCAGGGCACCTCCAGGCATCGCCCACTTTCCGGTCCAAAAGCAATTCTGGGACACCCTGTATATATGTGACTGGACTCGTTCGTGGTACTAACTTGATTAGGGTGGTTTGAGTTGATAGGATTTCCAAGATGACAATGGGGAAGTTGACCCGAAGTCAAACTTCCTTAGTCACGCTTAGAAAGGATGGGTCACTTCAAAAATAACAATGGGGAAGTTGACCCGAAGTCCAACTTCCTTAGTCACGCTTAGAAAGGATGGGTCACTTCAAAAATAACAATGGGGAAGTTGACCCGAAGTCCAACTTCCTTAGTCACGCTTAGAAAGGATGGGTCACTTCAAAAATAACAATGGGGAAGTTCATCCGAAGTCCAACTTCTTTATTTGTTTTCTGAAGGCGGTTAAGGTGCTCAAGAATAACAATGGGAAAGGTGTCCCGAAGTACAACTTCCTTAGTCGGTTCTTAAAAGACAGGACTTCAAAAATAACAATGGGGAAGTTGACCCGAAGTCCAACTTCCTTAGTCGGTTTTTGAAGAATAAGGGACTTCAAAATAACAATGGGGAAGTTGACCCGAAGTCCAACTTCCTTAGTCGGTTTTTGAAGAATAAGGGACTTCAAAATAACAATGGGGAAGTTGACCCGAAGTCCAACTTCCTTAGTCGGTTTTGAAGTATGGAGATCTTCGAAAATAACAATGGGGATGTTGACTCGAAGTCCAACTTTCTTAGTCGGCTTTCGAAGTTGGATAAAATGGGTGTTGGTATTTCAGATTGAGTTAATACTATTTCGGAGGGTATCCCACCGCTGTCACCAATTCTGTTATGTAGGCCGTAGTGGTTAGCGAGGCCTTTAAATTTGATGACGAAAATTTAGAAGTAACCAATAGAAAAGGAACGACCGGAGGTAACGTGAATAATATTTAAGTGCATTCCGAGCGGTAAGAATGCACTCAATGGTGGGTTCGCTGCTCGTTTAAGGTGTTGAAACACGCCTTGCTATTCCAACGTGGATAGATATTCTCTGAAATGTTCGAGGATGGGTAATAGATATTTAAAACGCGAGTAAAATGTGAATTTGCGATATATTGTTACAAATAATTTAGAAGTTTTCAATTAATTGTCGTGTACAGTGGTTCGATTATGAGAAATACTGGGATAAAAAATATGGTGAAATCTGATTACAAAACCTGACTATGTGTGAGGTGAAGGCAAAAAGAAATTTGGTGGAACAGAAATTTATCAAATCTAGTATATGCGTTACTTGGAAAGACTAGACTATGCAGCTCAATTTTGCCCGGTAACCGATCCAGCTTGTTCCCTAGGGTATGTAAACGAATCCGTACCTAGGCCAGATGGCGAATATTACACTGAATCTAATACTCTAACGATTAGAGCCACGAGTGACAACGTGCAATCCGATATTTTACGCGTGAAACTGAATGATTTTCTGAGCATCAGTGCCATGATTTTGGCTGCTTATATAGTCGATTTTTGCTGATGCTCTAGGTACGGTTAGGACGTTAGGAATGCACTCGGCTAACCAGCTGGGTAGGTGGCACAGGCAATGCATTGGGTAACGTGCTGAGTCTGCAATTATGCTTCCTGTCGGCTACGTTATTCTTCTGTTTCGGAATGAAGGTCGATATACGTAACAGGTGATACGGGATAATATCTCTGCTCGAATGCGCGATGTCCCTGCACATCGATTATATGTTCGGTAAGATTTGTCAAGCCAGGATTCTCTAAGGTAGCCAGTAGATACTCTTTTAAAAATTCTTTCAACTGATTCGACTGTTTGGAGGTAAGGCGGGAAATCCTGGTACTGTCTTTAGAACTCGAGACGGAAGACCAGACGGAAGAAATTGGATTCTGGGGGATACAGGAAGCGGAAGCGGAACGGAACGAATCGGCAAGATTTTCAAAGGGGTAGAGAATGGATGGGATAGGATCGTCGGATTTATCGGAATTGAAAGGTCGGAATCGCCCTAGGTTGCGCGCAAAGTCTATCACCATTCCGAAACGTTTAATCGCGTCGAGACCCAGTAGGCAGGGTACGTTCAATTAATTGTAACTGTACGTTCGTTAATTGAGTTTCCCCATCGGCTTTTCCGCGGGAGCCATCGGCCTATACGACACACTCGCGGGAGTTTCGACATCTTTGAAGCAGAGCGATGCCTTCTGGCCCTAAAAAGGTGCGAGAGGAACCCGAGTCGACTAATGCTAGGAGTGGACGGTCCTGAATGAGAACGGTTACGTATAGACGATATTCGGAACGCGTACTAAAGATGGGATCACAGAATTCCGGAATAAATAATTCGGAACCGTTAGTAGTCGGGTCGCGCGGGCGCTGCAGTGCAGGGTTCGCTGGCTGGAGATGGAATGCCAGAATATGGCGAAACAGGATAAGGATACGGCGGGAACGGATAGCCGTAAGGTGGTATCATCGGACAGTAGGACGGATAGCCATAAGGAAGATAGGCAGGTGAATTCGGCACCGAAAAGTGGGCAGGAGGATTAGGAACGGAAGGATGAGTCTCAATAGCTGCAGTGCTAGTTGGGTTCTCCGGAACGGGAACAGAACGAACAGCAGAGGCCGGAGGGTTCTGCGGAGGAGTCTTATTCTTTTTCGGCCGCGACGCGGTTGGAGTATTCCGTCGCGTCATATTCCCGAATCAGTCGCTCTAAATCATCAAGATCTATATAATCGAAGGGACGAATGTACTGTCGGTATTCATCGCGAAGTCCGGAATGCGCGAGTCGACGTTTCTCTTCGTTGGTCAGAGGCGGAATAATTCTCGCGAACAAGACGCGCAGATTGGTTAAATATTCGCGGGGGCTCTCCTTGGGCCCTTGTATCCTGCGGCGAGCTTCTTCGCGTAACCGATCCTGATAATCCTCGCGACACTAGCGTTTCCGGAAGTCGTAAGCGAACTCATTCCACGTTTGCCAATGTCGATGTCGTAATCGGAACCACGGAACCGCTTCTTCGATGAGCAGAAACGGAAGGCAAAATAAAAGATCTTCGTCAGCGAGTCGCGATCGCGCGCGACAATCATCGATTCGCATTAGGAACTCGTCGGCGTTTCGAGACGGCTTTTCCGTTAAACCGCAGGTTCTATTTACTGACGACATCCCACGCGTTCCGTCCGTAAGGGTGGTCAGTTTCGTATCGTCGGTAACTGTCACGACGTTGTAGGTTCGGCGCGTTCTCGGGCGGCTGGATCGACGATTGTTGAAGGTTCGGAAGCGAACACCCAGGCGGCGGGTGAGCTACAGTGGAATACGGATCTTGGCGAATAGGAAGCGGTGGAGGAAAGCTCGTGGCGGGGTCCGTAGACATCCCGTGGCCAGCAGTGGGTTCGTGATCCCTCGAAGGATCCGAAGGAGCATCGGTGGGGTTTCCTTCCGCTAGAGGAATCTGGGTGTTCGGATCGGACATGTCGGGTGTAGTATAAACCGTATTTAGGTAATCAACTAAGCGGGCGCGACGGTCAAGGAGAATGGAGGTCACCTCGCGAATCGAGTTGAAAATAATTCAGCCAATAGTCTAGCGCGCGAGGTAATAGCAAATATGCCCAAGCCGAATGGGAATACGAGTCGGACATATACTAGTGCGCGAGGGCAAAAAAGAAAAGGAACAGAAAAATAATTTTTACAAAATTAAAAGGAAGGGGACGGATTATAGAAAAAATTGAAGTCAACGGAGTACACAGAATTTAGTATAACGGTTAGTAGACAGTCGAATCAGAGGATTATATTTGTCCGCAACCTAGCAGTAACGATACGAGAAGAGAGCAAAACAAAGGATTACTCGCCAAGACGAATAGTCGCGCGGTCGACAATCCAAACGCAAATATAGGAATCGTCCAAACTATGCTGTAGAAATTGGAGAATATTTTAAATTAGCTCGTAGATGCGCCACAAATAGCTAACGTTAACTCCATCCACGAAAATTTCTCAAAGATTTCGCTAAAGTTCGCAAACACCACACAGTGAAGCGATACTAACGGTACGAAACTCAAACAGAACGACGAAAGGCAAATTATTATTTCTAATCGAAAATTAAAAAAAAAAAAACTACTAATTCTTAAATAAAGTTTCCAAGGCCTTGGCTAACTCGGGAGGTAGGTCCTGCGCCTCTCCGTGCCCAACGTTGGGCGCCAAATTTGCGACGATGATCACAAATGGCCAACAACGTGGAGGCTTCCCTTAACAGGAACGGAAAAGGTGAAGGGCTCTCCAAAAAAAAAAACGGTAAGTCAAAAAGAGACGATATAAAGAAAAATGTGGATTCGGTTCTGTACCTCTCGGGTCACAGATTGAGCGCCAAATTTGCGACGATATTCTCGGTCGTCGACAAAACGGAACTCTACCAAACGGAACTCGGGAGCGCAAGTGGTCTCGGCAAACTCGAAAAGATGGTTGGGCGCCAGGTACCCTCGAAGGAGCACCACAAGCTCTAAGCTCGTTATCGACACAATCAAGATCGCGAGAAATAAGTAGTCCGGGGTAACCGATTGCCACCAGGCAAACTATACCTAAATAGGCCACCAGGCGAACTAAAACTAAATATGCCACCAGGCGAACTAAACCTAAGGCCCACGGCTAAGAAAAGGAATAGAGAACGTAACTAAACCTAAAGGTTACCCGGAACTCAAAAGATAGTACTAAATTAGACCACTATACGTCCCACGATACGCCGCTTCAGAGGCTAGCTCTTTGGAAGCGTTGCGGCGTTCAAGAGGTAAGGAAGGCAAGAATCCGGCCAAGGAGTTATAGGAAAGCGATACGAAAAACTACAAGAAAGTAATCCAAATTAATTCATTAACGTACCAGAACTGTATTAAGCACAATAGAATTCCAAATAAGGAGTAAACTCAATAGCAGAAGTACAAGAACATAAACTCAGGCATTACTGAGGGTGCGAGCGAAAGCCAAGCATAGGTTTACCAAAAATCATAAAATTAATTCACATTCCTCGGTAACTAAAATCGGAAGCTATACAATGCAAAAGAGAATAAAGATCACTAAATATAATTTAGGAGACTATAGACGCAGTCTGCTTATCAGAAAATCACGACCGAAGGCGCTACGCGTGAGCGCGCACATGAGGGCACTCGGGCTCGATATTTCTAGAAAGACGGAAAATAATGCGGTCGGAATAATCGAATTACTCGGAATAGACTACCAAATTCGTGTTGGAATAAAATAACAAAATAGCGACACGGACAAAAATCGGAACGCAAGGAACAGCAGAGAAACGGCAGCGGAACGAACTGTGCGGTTCCAATTCTTGCACGCGCGAAGATATAACCGCGGTCACCAACCGTAATACGAAAGAGTCACTTAAACGAAATTTACAAAGCAGTATGAACTCGAGAAAACGATGAGACGCGTGGGTTCTTTCACCCGAGCACAGAACCGCGATTACAGAAAAGTAGCACCAAAGATAGAAAGGATCACAATAAATTAGCACAGCATATGGCACATAAAGATATCACAGTCAGAAAAATATAAAGTGTTATAACGAGTATATAATTATCGTTGCGGCGGTAAGATGTTCTCAGAACGGATAGTACAATTTCGAAATCGGCCGAAGGCGCGACGTCGAGGAACGTCAACAAGCAATGTCGCCTCGGAGGGCGGCTAGCGCGCGACGTCGGAAGGACGTGTGCGATACGCAAAATTTACAAATGTTCCACCAAAAATACAAAGACGAAACTACAATAATGTTCGGCAATGATAATCAGATGCAGTACATCCTCAATAAATCACAGAAATCAGAACGGAAGATTCCGCATACAAAAGTAGAAATATGAAATTCGGAATCACAGTTCAGCAAAGGCCACGAAAGTTTAGCAAAAACAAGAAAAGAATTTTATTTAACTTATTTCACTTTGAAAGAGGAAAATAGGCGAAACACTACGATTCCAATTAGTTAACACAAAGACAACGGCCTGGGCTCGCCACTCAATTCAACAGAACGTAGGGTTCGGAAGTCTCACAATACTTTTGTAGAAAAAGAATAGTAACTTGTCGGTAAAGGATATCTTATAATAATCGGCAAGCATTATAATCGGCCGCACGAGAATCTGGCTATAGAACAACCAAGCCGGTTAATCCGGGGTCAAATACTCTGGCAGACAGATTCCTACGTGTACACTAGGCGAAGATACCAGAAAATTCGTTAGTTACAAAAGAACAGCAATTGTTGTGCCTTAACGTCTCGATAACGAAGGAATCCGATAGAGAGGTTAGGGCTTAGATATTTTTGGAATCGTTGCCGGTTAAGGAGTTAGAACTCGAGCAAATAAAACAAAACTAAGAAGAGTTTATTGAAACAATCAAAGAAATATACAGTGAGTTCGACATACGTCGACTTGGAGAATATAGGTACCATTTGCTAATAGACTATCTTCTGTACCGAGACTACTCCACGAGACCACCTTATCTGTTAGGATTCTAATTGTAGACTGTCGATTTTCGGATGTACAGCCATAAGGTGCACTTCCGAAAATATAATTATTGTGCGATTTTGTGATTTTTACATTTCAGTTGCCATGCCGTCTTTAGTCCTGACTTAGCGCATTGCTACACGCGCGCACTACTTGGCCTGGCGTTCCTCGATGGGGTCAGGGAACCCTCAGCGCAACATCCCTCCCCCCTTAAAGAAAATTGCGCAATTACTACATGGCGTTCGCCTCTGGTGGTGGCCTCGAGTGAAGACTTGATTGAGGTTGTTACCCTAATGGAGCACAGCTTACATCGTTATGTGAATACAATTTTTATTTAATTTTAGCCGGGGTGTCCGTCCGTAGCATTGGTCCTGTCTTGCGGCTCCTGGTCAGCCCAACGAAAACGTCTTTCACGTGCTCTGTTTAGAGCTGCAGGCTATCGGGCGTTAATACTAGCGGTTCCAATTGTATGTTTACCGCGGGTGACACCGGGCTCGAAATGGTGCCGGTGTCGTTGGTGCCGGTATATGCTTACACTTGTTACATTTATAGATGGCAAAACAAACCAATGCTATCGGCGCTATTGTACCCAATGAGTAAAACCCTAAATTATGGTAAAACTGTTCGATGTGCTAGTAATCATGGTCCAGGCTTGCCTTAATGCTAAACACTCGCGTTCCGAGGCGCGCTAACTCCTCGGGGTTGCGTAGCACCTTCACGAATTTCACTTTTCCGATCGCACTGGTCACTCGCGGAGGAATAACTTGGTCCATTTCTAATAGAGAGAGATTAAAAGAGGGCAAGTAGTCCTTGTTGGCGACCTGTGTAATGCGTCGGATGGTTCGCAAGCTGAAGTTCTGGGCAGTTACCGTATATACGCCTACCAAAGCCAGTACACCTACGTGTCTTAACGTTTCATGTGACGCGGGATTTCCGTCGCAGGTAACACTAATAGGTTCGTCGGTGGGCCCTGAGTACAACCATCTACCCGGTTGGTCCATCGTGATCACTAGGGTATGATCGAGTGTTACGACCCGCTTCGGACAGTGAAGGCCGTTGCCCGTATCCATTTTCGCAAAAGTCAGCACTTCGCACGATGCCGAGTTTGTAAGAGGTATGGACGGATGCAGGGGATTGCAGATGTATCTATTCGCAAATTGTTTACAGCTCTTCAGCTCCAGGCTAGTCATTCGAAGGTAGTTTCTATT